TATAAATCCATGAAAAAAAGATGAATATCTCAACTGAAAATTGGAGAAAGAAAATAACAAGATAATCTATAGGAAAAAATATAAATAACTATTAAAGATATGAAAAGAAGCTCAACCTTAGAATAATCATAAAAATACAAATCTTAATACCATTTTTGATGGTAAAAGAAAAAATAAACCTCTGTAAAAAAAATTTAACTTTTTTAGAAGCTTTAACCTGTTATTTTTTATTGTGCTAAAATAATGATATACCATTTTTAACTTATCAGATTGGTGTGGGGAAATAGATACTGCCATAATTTATGAGAATACAAAACCATACAACTTTTCTGGAAGGCAATTTGGAGTAAGTACACAAATGTTTAATGTTCTAACCCAGAAATTCTACTTCTAGGAATCTCTTCTACAAAAATACTTGCACAAGTGCAAAAATAAATATGGACCAAGTTGTACACTGCATTATTTATTGTATCAAACAGAAAAAACCCAAATCCTCATAGGTAGGGAATGGTTTAAATAACCTGTGTTATTTCCACATGATAGAATCCCATGTAACCATTTTTTATAAAAAGAGGTAGCTTTATATTTACTGACACTGAAAGATATTCAGGATATATTGTTAAGTAAAAAAAAAAAGCAAAATGGGAAACAGTATGCTCTTTTGTTTTTGTTTTTGTATGCACAGAAAAACACACAAAAGGAAGCATCTGAACTGTTCATGAGACTCTCTGAGCACTGGGATAAGAGGGGAAGCCATTCTTTATTTCCTGACTAGGTAATATCAGTATATGAGGAAAATTCAGAACAAGACCAAAAGGCATTCAGTGAAAAGTAAGTCTGGCCCCTCTCTGGCCCCCCAGACTCCTCTGGGGAGAAAAGAAATCTGATTTTTTTACTTTATACATATCTGTGATGTTAGTACTATTTATTTTTTAACATTCAGTCTAGTAAGAAAAGTAAAAACAATGTTCACTGTAGAAAAATTGCAAGTTATATAAAAGTTTAAGAAAATAAATATCAGCCACGATCTCATCTTCCAGGAAAAAAAAAATGTCATTTGATGCATTTCCCTTGAATCTTTTTTATGCACATGCATCCTTTAAAAAAAAAAAATTTGTAAAATAATCACAAAATATACACAAATGGAAGAATTCTACGCATGTATGCTGAGGCAAAAAGAAATAAAATTTATAAAAAGAAAACTTACTTTTCACACTTAACAGTATAGCATGAACATTCTCCTATTATCTCCCACATTGAATATTCTTGCACAACACGATTTTTCATAGTTGTTTAGGAACTTAACATAAGAAATATTTCTTTGAACAATCTTTTATCATCAAACATTTAGGTTGTTTCCCATTTCAGAAAATATTTTGCAAATGAAGGAAAGAATAACCTTTTGGGGCAAACAGAGTCCAGGACAACAGAGAAAAGGTCCCTGCAGCCATCTCTTACCCCTTCCCGATCCCATTCCGTGGGCTCTCTGCCCAGGCCTTCCAGACTACTCCTGGATCACCGCCAGGGCCCAGAGCCAACTGGCCTCTAACTTAGACATTTCCCCATGGTAGGGCAGAGGCTCTAGTAAGTCTTTCCTGGCCCTGGGATCTTTTTCCAGCACAAAACATAATCTGATACAGGGTTAGTTCAGATGCCTTCCCCCTATCCATAGTCCTCTCACTCCCCAAATTCATGGTACTCAGGGCTCTGGTGGCCCAGAGATGGGGGTAACATTCTCATACTGGGGCTCCTCCTGCCCTTCCTCATCAGCCACCTTCTGGGGATCCTGTTCTGGGGGGCCACTCTGGGGGTCTGGCTCCTGGGTCCTTCCTGAGCTCTCCATGCCATCCCCCAGCCCCCTGGCCACTTCCTCTGGCCTGCTTCCTACAGACTCTGAGGCCCCAGTAAGCCCCTCATTAGGGGCTGAGCCAGGGCTCTGACTGGCAGAGCCAGAGGCTAGCCCAGGGCTGCCCTTGTTCCGACTCAGGGCCCGGCGTGGAGGCTTGGGGATGGCACTCTTGACCTTGGGCTCTGCCTGGCCTTTCTGGAAGCTACCAAAACGGCGTAGAACAGATCGGACGGGGCCATCAGATTCTCGAGGTGTTCCTGCCAGCATGTAGATTGTGGTCACAGAGCCTGAGCTCTCCTGGATACTGCCCTCAATGGCTTCCACACGTTCAGCCACTGTCCGGCCACCAAGTGGGAGCCGGCGGTGGCCAATAGCTGAATCCCTGGGGCTGGCTGCCCCAGGAGGGGCCTTGTCCCTTTCTACTTGCTCTGGGCCTATGGACTCCTCAGCTTCCTGGTTTTCAGGACCTGGCTGGGCCCCCCGGGAGAGCCGCTTGGGCTTTCGGAGCGGGCTGGAGAGCTCTCCTGAGCTTCGGCGACTCTGCGGTGCAAACTTGGTGCCTTCAGCAAAGGAGACTGATGGCCGCTTGGCCCGTGCTAGGCTGGAAGTGCGTGGGATGACAAATGGTGTGGAGGCATCCTCAGGGGGAGGGAAGGTACCTCCAGCCAGACTGGCCTCCGGCGACTCTGGTTGGGCTATAGGGACCATCCCTGGCAGAGGAGACAGAAGAGCTTGTTCTAAAGCTGGGCAGGCCACCCCGATCCATCTTGCTTACCTAGATCAGCATCCTCTGGGAGGCCTCAAAAATGAGGCAAGGTAGAGGTGTGAATGCAGAGAGGCAGGAGCAGGGCCTCTTCAGTAGATACTACTTCTATACTTTTCGCATCTCCCTCCTTAATTTGACCTAATGCCACACTCTAACCAAACTAAAATTCCTTCAATGCCACACAGCCACGTCCCTCTCACCTCCAGGCCCTTGTGTACACTTTTCGTTCTTCCTGAAACACCATTTTCACCTCTCCCTAACTTTCACTTGACTAACTCCTGATTCTGCTAGACTCACTCCAATATCACGAACAAAGAGACATCACAGAGACATCTTCCCCGACCCCAATCTTCCCTGACATGGCTGGATTATAGCCCATCCTTATATGTCCCGTCAAAGCACATATCACTCTGTCCTGTTAAGTGTGTAATTACTGCCCACCAGACTATAAGCTTGGTGAGAACAGGAATCTATTTCGTTCCTCCCTGCGTCCCACAGCCAGGAACAATGACTGGCACAGAATGGGTGTTTGATACATGCCTGCTGAAGGAATAAAAAAGAGGTTGTGGTGGGCAAGGCTGCTCAGGGGCTGAGTGGGCTGTTGGGGGGACTACCTTCTTGGGGTGGCACGCAGTAGGTAGGACCCTCATCTTCCTCTCCAGACTCAGAATCAGAAGAGAAGGAGTCATCTGAGGCCCAGCCAGCAGAGGGCGGTTCGATAAAGCTGTGGTTGAAGGGGATCTCCGGATCGTGGTGGGAGACTGCAGGGGGCTCCAGGTCAGGCGTAGAGCCCAATGGGAAGCCTTGTCCCATCCCAGCGTCCAACCTTCAGCGCCCACCTACCTGTCACCCAGGGAAGCTTGTGGCTGCTGAGGGAACTACAGGGCAGTGCAGAACCCAGACTGGTCAGTGCCCCCCAGACTTGGAGCTTCACCCTGGACACAGCAGTTCCATCTTTTGCTGGCCTAAGGACAAAGGAGGGTGGTCAGTGTGAGAATCCTGGTTGGGGCAGAGGGGTGGCAGGAGAAAAGCATCATGACTGTCCTAGTCCCAGGGTTAGTGTGAGGAAAGAAAGGTGACAGAGCAGCTGTGTCTACTTCAGTGGCTCCCTATGACCACAGAGTAAAATCCAAACTATTGAGGCTGAGATTTGGGCCTGCCACAGAAGGCAGCATGGCTCTAAAGTCAAATAGACCTAGGAAGCAACTCTGCTCAAACTTTACCTCGCTCTGGGCCTCAGTTACCACATCTGTAAAATGGGGACAATAACTCTGATCTATCAGAGCTTTTTTTAGGACCCCACACAGGTGGGGTTCCCCAAAATGCAACTATGTGCCATCATCTCTAGCTGAGTCCCAGCTCACCTAGCTTTCTGGAAGCAGCACTACCTCCAGGAAGCCTGCCTTTGGTTCCACCCCCATGTTAGAAGTCACTGCTTCGCTCATTACCATTGCTCTGACAGCCTTTGCACATGTCCTGATCCTCATGTGAGGGGCTTCTTCCCCACCCCATGCTCTATGCCCCAGGGGACAGGCTATACTGGGTCTGCTCAAATGTGAGTGCCCCAAAGCACATAGGATGATGTGCTCAAGGATTAGCGCATGAACTATAAGAGAGTACCAGACAAAGAGTCCCGAAAGCAGGGCCGGGGCTTTGCGTGTGCCAGTGACTAGCCAGGTCACGTTGTCAGTGTCCTCTCTCTGTCCTCTGCTAAACCTCCTGCTCCCACATTCCCTACTCTGAACTTCCATGCTGCAGTGAGTCTCCAAGGAGCAGAAAAGTGTGAAGAGATTTTGTAAAGGAGTAAAGCTCTGTGGGAGCAATAGTTGCTAGCAGGCCACGAGCCTAAACCCTTTGTCTTTTCTTCTTTTCTGGGAAAGCCACATTCTCTTCTAAATCACTACTCAGACTTTTATGTCATTTTCCTTTCTGGGGTGTGAGACCTGATCTCTTCTGCTCCCTGCTTGCTGCTTCTGCCTTCCCTCCCTCCACCTCTGGTCCCTGCTGTGGGTTTGAGTTTCACCAGCCTGGTGCCCAGTACTCCAGCTCATATGACTCCCATTGAAGGCTACTGAGGAAGGCAGGTGACTCACCTGGTGTCTCTAGGCCACACCACTGCCAACTAGCCCATTAGCTCTAACCTAAGGGTATGACAAGGCCAGCCCTTCCTCACCCCTAAAAGGAAATTGGATGCTACCTTGCTCCCACCCCACTGCCTGAGCTTAGGCAGGGAAGAGGGACAGGCCAGTGTTCACCTGTCCTTGGGGTCCAATCGGTTGGCCCAGCAGCAGCAGGCACAGCAGGCAATACCCAGGAGGAGCAGCAGCAGAGGCACAAGGATGCCAGCTATGAGGGCAGCATCCTGACTGTGAGACCCTAAGGGGAGTGAGCAATGGTCAAATATTCAGGGCACTCCTGTCTCTCATATATGTCTCATCTATAGCTGAGTTGCCTTCCCATCCCCAAAGTCTTCCATCTGTAGGTCCCTCCCCCTCTTCTAAGACATATAGAGTCTGCTCAGCCTGAAGGCCCTCTCTTCCAGGCAGCTTCTCTGCTAGTCTCTCTTCTCTTGATGGTCCATGGCCTTTTCCACAAGGCTCTTGTCCCTAGTCCTCATGCCTGATGCATATCCCAGTGTCCAGCCCTATCTGCTCATTTTCTGAGTGTTAGTCTGGTTTCTCAGGGGGAAGGGGCTCTGTCACACCTTCAGGGGGCCCCAAAGCATCCATACAAATTTCAGGCATAGGGAATGTCTCTTAAGTGGGCTCAGCCTCACTGGCAAGTGACAAACTTCTGGAGCTCATGTAAAGGGCCAGTCTTGCCCTGGTAACTGCCTTCCATCTTACCCAGCTGGCAAACCCCAGATTCAGGGTGGCAGGGTCCCTCTGGGCATTCACAGGGAACAGAGCAGTTGTTTCCATAGAATCCAGATGGGCATGAAGTGTTGCAGCTGTGGGTGACAAGGAGAGACAGGCTGAAGGCTGGGTGAGAAGGGATGGAGGTGGGCAGGGGACAGGGAAAGGTAGGTTTCTGGGTATTGCTCTCCACCCCTACCACTCAGACTTCCCTGGATGATGCCCAAACAGACTCCTCCAGCCTGAGCCATATTCTCAGCACCCCCGACAGTGTTTGGAAGAACCCCTCAGCCCCTAAGCCTAACTTTCAGGGAGACCACCCACAAGCTTCTCCCTGGTCCCCAGCCACCCAGGGTGTAACAACCCTCAGGCAGAGTCCACCTCTCATGATTCCCACCCCTTGCCCACCCAGCACCAATGTAAAATAAGCAAGATGCTAATGGCATCCAGAGACATCCTCAGGGTCTGAAAGTCTGAGCCAGGCCCAGTCCTCCCCCTAACTCTCTGGGCTTCAGTCCTCTTCTCTATAAGATGAGGTCTCTCCCATTTGAGAGAGACCGCTACATTCTGTCCCATAGGTGGAAAACCTGACACTGGAGTCACTGACATGAATTATGTTTTACCACCTGAAGACCTTAGGGACACGACAAAGGAGTATGGAGCCCTACCTGTAAATAACTTCCCCACCTAGGTAGGGAGACAGGCCTTTTGGATTAAGCTTCATTCTGACCGACCTTTGGAGGACGCAGACCCCACAACAGGAGAAATAACTTCTCATTTATGAGGATATAGGTTGAGTATCTTGGAGGTGAAGAAACTCAAGAAGGGAAGTTAAACAGATGGCACAAAGGCCTGGCCTAGGCCCTTGCGTCCTTGCCAGAGCCCCAGTCCTCACCTGGGCCCCCAGTAGCCAGCGTTGCAGATGCATTCACCAGTCATAGCATCACAGGCCCCCTGAACACAGGTTGGGCAGGTTGAGCCACAGCCCTTCCCAAAGGTGCCACTCGGGCAGGGGTCTTCACAGCTGAGATGAGGCAAGACTTGGAATGGAGGACAGAGCAGACCTGGCCCCCATAGGGGGGCATTACCCATCTTCCCCCATGCTTCTGGACTTAGAGACCCAACTGCGGGTCCTCAGCAATGAAGCTCAAGTGCAAATATGGCCTTGAAGCTAGGGCTAAATCAAATAGGTGACAGACTAGAGATCTCTGGAGAAAGAAGAAGGCAGGAACCTGAGTGGTGGGGGAGCTGGAAGAGAACCCTGCCCAGGGCCTCATCAGCACCCATTTCTCTCCCTTCAGCCTTTGCCAGGTGGCAGGCCCCAGAGGGCTGTGTGAATGTGTGTTTGGTGTGGAGCTGTCTATCCCAGAGGGAGCATCAGGGCTGAGGCTCCTGAAGGAAGGTGCACCCCACCCTGAGCAGACCAGCCCCCTCACCTGGGCCCCAGCCAGCCAGGGTCACAGCTCTGACAGTGCCCAGTATCTGGCTGACAGGCCTCTCCAAGCCAGCAGCGGGGGCACTGCTGCCTGCAGCTTTCGCCAAAGGTTCCAGGTGGACAGGGCTGGTGACACTGGGTTCCGTTCCAGCCTGGCTCACAGGACTCACAGCTGCCTGTGTCTGCAGAGCATGGTTCATTCCGCTTGCAGTGGCCACAGCTGGGAAGAGAAGGAGTTCATGGGAAACACTGGAGGATGGATGCAGGAGTGCCCACTCAGGCCTCCTGGGGCACTGGAGAGCAGGTCACCAGAAGCTGCCAACACAGCCAGAGTGAACAAGTCACCATCTCAACCTTCGCCTCCCTTCTGCCCAGCATCCCATATCCCTTCCCCTTTCTCCCTTCCACCCTTGCTGTCTCTGAGGTCTGGCAGGGATGGGCCTCAGTAATTTATCCCCTAACATGAAAATGAATAAAAACAAAAGCATGTCTGTTTCACCACTATAATTTCAAGTTTATCTTACCTTTGAATTTTTCCCCATTTTATTGATATAATTTACATGTAACACTGTATACATTTAAGATGTACAGCATAACGACTTGACCTGTGTATATTGTGAAATGATTACCAGAAAAAGTTTAGTTCATATCTGTTATCTCATATAGAGACAAAAAAAAAAAATGCGTTTTTCATTGTGAGACCTCTTAGGATCTATTCTCTTGGCAACTTTTCCAATCAGGTTTATCTTATGTTAATTTCTCATTGAGCCTTAACAGTTACTTGAAGTTTCTCTCTCCGAATATTTAATTATCTGGGATCATATGGTTTGATCAGACATTCATTAGTGGGGGAGTAGAGGAGTTTATATAATCAATTTAGCAGATGCTGATCAGCAGCAGCAGCAAAAAAAAAAAAAAACATTACAGTATATATACATAATATTCATATATTATATATTAATCAAGATAAATATATGTTGTCTGGTTAAGATTTACTTCAGTTTTTATAGATTACATACATGGATGTGTGTGTGTGTGTATATGTGTGTTAGGTGGGATGTAAAACGTATTTATTGTGGGTGGAGCTGATCAAAATTGGAAAGCCACTGAGTCTGAAAGGGATCATTTTTGTCACGTGATTCAGTCTATCTGTTTCTAAGTATGGTTGGCTATATTAGTTTTTTGTTGTTGTTTAACTGCAACCGGATGAAAGGGGTAGGCGAGGCTGGAACTAGCGTCATTAAGGTCTTTTTCCCCCTGCCTTCATCCTGTTCTTTTAGATTTTTGTGGAGAGCACCGCGCCTGTCCTTCACATTCCCTTCTCTCCTCCCGTCCCCCCTTGGCACCCCCCACTCTTCTAACCCTGCTGCGCG